AAAAAAAAAAAAAAAGACAAATGAGATAAATGCTAAAAAGGATTTCTTTATTTTTTTTTTTCTGGGGTAAAAATACGAAAAAAAAAAAGAAGAAAAAACTTGATTGCTATTACACAAAACACACACCAACATCAAAACAAATTGATCCATGTACACACGAAAAAAACAGCAGGCGATCCTTCTAGGTATTTTTTTTCCCTTTTTTCTTTGCCAACCGAAATACAACTGACATAAAAACCGTATAACTCCCAAATATGACTTCAAAACACCGTTCACATTAACACCTAAAACTGCCATCAAAGAAAAACCCAAAATCAGAGAAAAAAATTTTTATCGAAAGACTTACTAATATAGTACAGTTAGCGTCGTTCTCAACATTCTTCTCTACCCTTTCTTTCATAATAACCAATACTGTCACAACTTCTTTTATAGTTGCTAACACATAAAACAAACATTTAACGAATTTCGCTGCTGCAACAGCAGTAACGACCCAACGCTAACAATAACCATTTACACGACAAATGACAACAGTCTACAAAATCGACGGAGCGAGGGAAGGGACATGGCCAAATTCGAACAACAACACTAATTCCTGTACGTGTACAAAAATTGAACCACACAAAAAAACTCAACAATATCAAAATTTTCCAATAGAAAAAAGTATTTTGATGACGCCTGAATTTGATATGCGCAACAAGATTCTCAGTGAAAAAACACCAATCGACTACAACGATGCTGACAATGACGGCCACGACGACAGTGACGATGAATGGACGATTAAAACGAAAAAACTGTGGTAGCAGCAGTCGCAACAAAAATAACGGTCCTTCTCACAAACAAAAACCTCAGGTTACTTATTGAGAATTAACGTTTGTGAAAGACAACAACGGAGGTATCTGTGACTGAGTCGTTTTGTTAATCAATACTGGGTTCATTTGTGAACCCATCGAATTCAGTGTAGACAGTAAATTCAGATCTGTTGGAAAGAACTGTGCCTGATTTCCACTACTGTTAATATACGGCAAGAAACCAACATCATTTGGATTACCCGCAGTGGTGGATACAGGTACAGTCGGTGACTGCTTTGTTGTATTCAACATATCCTGTAAAGAACAAAAAATAAACAAAGTAAGAAATCACACTTCAAATTTCAGAATTACCGAACAATCCTTCTTGAATACTGCTTTCCTTTACTGTAGCTTTTCAAATTTCCATCTCACTAGTCTTCAACATTCCTTCTCTTTTTTTGTTAATCTTCTTTTCAACTTAATAAATAAATGAAAAAAAAAAAAACGAGAAAAAAAAAACAAAAAAACATATGTCATTAATCTCAATTCCCTTGACAAATAAACTTTGGAAAACTTAAAAACAGAGCCGCTAAAACATTAAAACTTTTTCAAACGCTTTTACCTTCTTTTGTTGATTTCCTTTTAGAAAAGCGGCAATCATCTGAGCATGATAAGCAAGCATCAAAGACTGTTGCTGAAGTGACTGCTGCGCTTCGGACGCCAGCAAAAGTTGTGCAGCCGTTGTTGAAAGCCGGTTATCCGATGACCGCTCAATTTGTTTTACGGCCGAAGTGCTAGCCGGAGACACGGAATGGTTTACACTTTTTGGCTGTAACTTCGGCTTCCTCTTCGGTCTATAGACGTAGTCCGGATGCTGTCGTAGTAGTTCATCACGCAACTCTTTAGCCTAAAACAAATTCAGTAAATTATTTCTATATTTACGCTGCTTTTGTTTCACTTAATTTTTCCTCCTCAAAAACGTAGAAAACTTTTTCAATGTTTAATTGTTTTGTTTGCTTGACTCTCGAAAACCGTACAGCCAACCAACAGTCACAATTCGCTTGTCAACCCTACCAAATCCACTGAAGATCTTTGAGAATCTGCACAAATGTTTATGACGAAGAGAATAGGACTTAAATGGAGCGAAGACGGTATGGTGACCTTTCGGACAGTTACAATAAGCTTTCAATAACATTAATCTGAATAAGAATTTTGATCAACAAACCTTTTTGATATACGGTGCTTTCTTTTCAGCACTCATCTGTCTCCATTCTGCGCCAAGTTCTTTGCTAATTTGCGAGTTATGCATTTTACTCTCCGAGTTCGCAATTTCAGCACGTCTCTCTTGTGACCAAACCTACAAATAAAACCCTAGGACCGTTATAATGTTTCACCACGTCCTTTTTCCATACCATTTCACGATACCTCTCCTTTATAGAAAAGAAGCAAAGATATGAAAGATCTACCATAAAAGCATTCATAGGTCGTTTGATTTTTTGTCCAGTTTCCAGTTGGTCAGGTTCACGAACTGCAGGTGCATACGGTGTATTTACCAGTGGCTTAGTGAAATCGCATACTCCTGATTGTAAGGTATTGTAACCTAAATTAACTTAATCCTTAAGTACCTCAAAAAGCACTTTTCTCAACAAATTTTTAAATTTATCAGAACTGATGAACAAAAATTGTACGAGATGCGAAAGAGAGGGATGCAAGAAGATGTTTAGATGCTACTTCTGTACCCAATTACTGTAATCAAAAGAAATAAAAAACCGCTCACTTGGCGCACTCAGTGTGTAAGCAGACGAACTTGAAGGAGTTGACAAAAAATTTAGCTCCGAATTCATTGTCGCTTTATTGAGACCAACAGACCGAGACGTCAATTGACCAAAACTACCTTCAGACGACAAAGTATTCAATAATGCTTGTGTTGTCATCAAACACGACAGGTAAACAAGAATAACAAACCAATTTCTCCTGCAAAGTAATTACAAATCTATTACTACTGCAACAATCCACCGCCATCACCGCTGTTGCCATTGTCACTGCCACTGCCACCGCCGCCAACAACAAAAACAACAACAACGATAC